GAAGATGCTTCAGCATAATATCGTCTGTCGTCGTAGTCTTCTTCGTTTTTAGGTTGATGCAAATGAGAAAACCCCCAAAGCATTCTGTGTATTGTTACGGGTTCAGAGCATAGAGTTGCAGATGAAACAGAATTGCGAAATTAGCATGGTGCTCTATGACTTCGAAAGAAAACAACATGCCAGGTTGGCTACTAAACTATGTTTCCATCTTTTCATAGGAGCTTTTATGGTCATTCAGTACAGTCGTTCGGATTACCTCTCCGCTTATAGTTTGTCTTTCAGCGATACTTTCGCATTTATCTGGAAAAGTAATGAAACGAATTCACGCGATCTCAACATTAGCGGGCTGTTCGCGGTGGGTACCCCTTCTACAGTAAATTGGGTTGGCGAAGTTTTTGAACATGTTATTTTAGAATTTCAATCAGAGTGATATTGGTAGACGTTTGGTTTTAATAACTCGAGTCGCCCGTATAGCTCCTGTAGAACATACGTCGTCCACTCTGAGAAGGAACCAGGAACCAGGCCCAACCAGTCTTTACTGCCGCCAAGGTGGTAACACCTTTATGCCTACATTTTTCTAATATGAGTTCACTAGCTTAAAATCTGCTTTTTATTTCAATTCATTCGCACTTTCAGTTTTCGCTTTTGATTTCTTCGACATGACGTCGGTGTTTACAAATCCTCAACCATCTCACGACGCCAAGGATAAGGTCATTTTCCTCAACAAGTAAGTCAGTCTCAGCCCTTAAACTGCATCATGTCTTCGAGAAGACAGCAGATCTTGAATGTCCATTTCCAGAGACCAGAATTTCGATCAATTGCTAAAATCCCTTCAAACAACAGCTAAGGTTCCAAAACTGAGCGCATCATCAGGTCAGCCATCGTTTATATTCGAAGATTTCAGTGGGTTCCTGTTGTTGGATGCCTTTGATCTATTATCCCTTCGAGAGTTTTCATTCTGACTAACACTAGTTCTCCTTATAAGTCCTATTTTTAGTGAACTAAATTAATGTATTACATGCTTTATGATTTGAATTGATAATCACGTTCCAGATGATGGTAAGATACTCATTTCAACGCAAGTCTACACCAATGGGTTGTCGGAGCTCAAACTGAGGAGGCCATATCTTTTCACTAGGAATCCTCCTACAATCATTTCTCGTTGTGACTACGCGGGACCTGCGTCTGGTAACTTTTGTATCTGTAAAACTGCGATTGCCTATTGTTGTCTTGTCTTTATTACTTCTTCCGTGTAGGAGAGGTACGTAACGACCTTTACGTTACGTTGATACAAGGAGAATTTACAAGCAAGTCTTCCGAGAGAAATATCGAGGCGCGTATGCATTTAGTTGAAGGAAATGGGCGAATCGTCCCAGATGTAAGTGTAACTAAACTTTTTTGCAAAGTCTTTTCAAATTATTGATCAAACACGGTTAATAAAAGGGGTAAGATAGACCTGTAGCTTCGAAATGGTATTACCTGAAGCTTCTAAATCGCTTTTTACTTGTAGTGCTTCGAGACAGTATCTACTGGATCAATGAAATTGTCTTCTGAATATCGAAGCTTTGTTTATATCCACGAGGATAAACCAGTTTGGTTTGAAAATGTCAAGGTACCTCGTTCAATTCTAATTTACAGTTTTATTGCCGTTTTGTTTTTGTAACATCTTGAAAAAAGTCTAAATTGAGTGGCGAGCATTCAGAGTTTTGTCTTTTCAAAGCCATATTTGATCAAAAGTGCAAAAAATGATTACTGGGCATTGCTCCAGGATGCGCTTTAACTCATGTTTTATGTTAAGATTCGTCTGCCCGAGGACATTAGTCACGACTTGCACCTTCGTATTACATTCCACTCAAGAAAGCCATACGATAAAGGGAGGCCGGAGAAAGGACCGTTTGCACTCGCTCACATTCGCCTCATGTGTAAATCGGTTCTTGTACCGGATGGTGATCATGATCTGTTGGTTTATAAGGCAAGTAATGTGGCTTTGTAGAGTAGTATCATCAGAGAAAAAACATCTTTTTTGTGAATCTGAAAGTCTCCATGGTAATTGTTCCTTTCACAAAAGTCTATTATTACAGATTGAGTCATCTCATTACGATGACAATAACACAGGCTACTTACCTCTGCCGCAAACGAAGAGGCAAGAATTCTATAGTACTTGTACATATTCTTCAGTGAATTATTATAGACTACTCAATCGTTGAATAGCTCCTTCCCTTTTCAGGGTCCTTCGTGATCTCGGAAACACTACTAACAAGCCACATTCCTCGGTATTCTCTTTGAGTGAAAAAAGCTCCGTATCAATTAATACTCTGATCTGTTCAACACTGCTTACCCAGAATGAGCACATACTAAATGTACTCGGATGGAGGTTAGTGGTCATCAAAATTTGTGAAGCTCTTCATTTGATCTCAATTTGAAATTTTATGAGGTGCCGAAACTTCGGAGCTTCACAGCCTTTGCGTTTTTATAGGGAGTCAAGGCCAAATCTGAACTCATCGCTTATCATGCTCGCTGCACCGTTTGGCGATACACAGGAAGAGGTAGGCTGTTTTTGCAATAAATCTTTAGGTGAACAAGCAAGCGGGAAGATCGGGTTCGTAAAGAGCACTGCAGTGAGGAACATGCATTTTAGATGATTCGTTTCCTTTGTCCGTTGCTGGATGCTTTGTTCGAATTGTGGGAAGAACGTGAACAGCTTGAATTGCCTGTATTTGACGTCATCATTGCTCTTTTCAAGCTAACTGGTGAGTATATAAGTGTAAACACCGCTCGAGTGAGCTCATATATGAAGTTCCTCGATTCAGAAGAGCAGGTCAACAGCACTGGTGCGGATTCGCTGAAGAAGTATTTGGACAGATTCCCTTATTGCAATGCTGCTGTGTAAGCCTTTTTACTTTTCCTTCTGCACAGATAAAAAAAGCTTGAGACTAAATGCGGCGGAATTTCTGATAATAGATCTATTTGATACTTACATTGTTTTCCACTACGCTATGCACAATATTTATCCGGAAATTCAAAATATTGAAGAAAATTATCGATCCATAACAAGCTTATTTCTTCGTATTTTTTTTCTTGCGTGGTTGACTTATGTGTTTACTTTAGTAATGTATTCTGTTTATAGAAAGTTAATGCGATGTCTGAATCACTATATAGCTAGTGCATCCACAGTAAACAACGAGAAGACCCGAAATCTGTTCAAAGTTCTGGGTTTGGTCTTCCGCACGGTTGTGCAGTCAAAACGAAGCGGAGACAAGTGCGTTTACATCCCTCCGATTACTTTTTTATGGTATCATGAATATTGAAATATTGAAATATAATATTAGAATTGGCCGAATTTCACGGCTTTTTTATCGGTTTCGTTTATTCTATTATTTCTCATCTGAGCGGTTTTGCTTTTAGCTTTTTTGACGACGAGCAATACACGCAACAGTTTCGCTCCCAGCTGGACAGTGTTCTCGACTCGTTAGTGAGTCTCATGGGTGAGACAAGAGAACGTATGACAGTGCAAAATACAGCACTCAAGCACCTACCAGCAATCGTAGATCCGATTTGTGCGTGTGGCGCCTTTGAACCTACAGATCTTTGGTGAGTGACATCAACAAAATCTTATGACTCTTGATTTTATTATTTGTAGTTATTATACGCATAGCAATACACCCTTAAGAGTTACAGAAACGCAAGCTTCTGTTTTCTTTCAGCAAATTTTTCATCAGAGTGATGAATGGCTTTGGAAAGAATATCGTAGCGCGTGAGCGACTTGGCATGGTGTCTCAATTGATAGATACTCACCTTTTCGAAGTAAGTGCAGGATGAAATAAGCCATGTACTGGTGTTTGCTCTCTAATATTAAATATGGTTTTAGTTGCAATCATGCCGTGCTATTCTTCTACCCCGTTGCATTGACCTGGTTTTGGTTCAATTAGATCCGGACCTTAGCGAAGAGCGCGAATTTGCAGATCGAGCTATGGAATGTGCTTCTATTATCGGGCGACTTCTAGAGCGACTTTTCCCAGTTACGGTGTGTTTCTTTTTTTTGCGAGTTTCAGGCTGTATCGTGCACTATTATTGGCGCACAACATTTTTTGCGAAATCATGGACAGCTTTCTAAATATTCCAGACCTCTCCGCCATTTTATCAATATGGGACTGACGAAGAACTGAATCTCATTCTTGGTGGCACATACAGACCGCTGGTCTTGGCAATGGTCTATATTGGAGAGCAACGTCAATCGGTGAGTAGGCAGGGCCCTCAAATTTTCGGTGATGCGCACAGTTTTGCTTAGCAATAATGCTCATGTATACAAATTGGGTCTTTGAATGAACAAATGAAATTACATTTGTTTCAGATTTCAATTTGGAAGTACTGCTAACCTTTTCTTTAGACTGATGAAATACGAGGCCGATTCTTTTCGCTTATCCTTGCATTGCTTAACAAAATGTCAGCTGAAATCTTTGGGAAGTACATAGAAAATAGGTAGGTTGACATTGTCGCTCATTTACAATGATCGATTCAACCAACAATTTTAGACCGAACGACATCGACAAGATGGACTTTATTCTGGAAATGTTGCAAATGATTCGAGATCTGTTGTGCAAATGCCCGTTTCCGTCTACTTGGCATCAGATGATTATGTTACAAAATAAGTTCGTAATAATGACCCATCTCAGGCTATCTTACAAAAATTAGCTTGGCTGTAATATTCGTTTGTAGGACGATACATAAAGCTTTACGATTCCTGATGAATGCCATACAGGGACACTTCTCCAACGAAAAGGAGCGCTTCTATTCAGACGTGGGAATTCATATCTTTGACAGCTCATTTTCTTTTATTTTCTTGAAAACCCAAAAAAGATGAAAACTGCGGTGTTAGTAAATCACTTGTGAGGCTCCACACCCCTCTGGTCCTATTTGCTCACCTTTCAACATTTCAAGATTTAGATCTGGCAGGAATACATGCTCACAGCTGTATGTTTCGTCACCCAGCCATCTCTGCAGTCCAGCGAAGAGTGGCTTCGAGACGAATCCGATTCTCGAATACAGCTTCGCAAAGGAACTGCTCGTGATCTCCGATCGATGTGGTTCCGTCTTACACGTATGTTCGCATTTTTGTTTGCAGAGCATAAGAGCACTCTGCACCCGTTCTTTTCAGCTGTGCAGAAAATGGCCTACATCCCTCGTCTTGTGGGAGCATTTCTGAAAGTGGCTCTTGTGGAAGACGATGAGACCAGGGAAGCAACAATTCCGATATTCTTCGATATGATGCAGTGCGAATTTCATTCGTGTGTTGAAGATCGCAAAAACTTCAAGAAGGTTGGTACTCCTCTTTTCCTTGGACTCATGAACAGAGGCTCGATTATTGATATATTCGATTAGGTTCGATTAGATATATTTTTCATTCGATTGGATAATTGTACCTCAGAAAACTTCAGCGACATCTTACTATCTGAGTGAGTATTTAGTTTTCGGATGAGTTGATCACACAGCTGGACAGCCTTGTGGATCAAGATCGTGGCACGAGAGCCTTCCAAGAGCAGTTCACTAAAATCTTGAAGAGCCAATGCCAGTATGTCTAGCTTCGCTCATTTTGTTATCATCCCTTCCTTCTCGCTTTTTTATCTGAAGCTATCTGAAGCTTTTTAATGGCCAAAAGTAAGAGACACCTTGTGCGCTGTTCGGAAAGAATCATTCAGCTCACGTGTTCTACACATAACCCATACCGCTACCTTGTGCTCAAGTTTCACATGCCCCCATTTTCAGATCAGACAAAGAATTGTGGGAAGGCGGCGGTCGTGACCTCATCGATCGTGTCGATCGGCTTCTAGGACACATATTCGAGTATAGATTAGTTCGAGAAACATCAGATTGTATAGAAAATGGCATGAGTCGAACGGTGCAGCTGCTGGTTAGTAGTTCATAAGTTTATGAAGAACTTGTTGAAATCATTAATCTTTTACAAATTTTAGAGATATTATGAGAAGTATAGGCACCATAACCTCTATATCACCTATGTATACAAGTTGTACAATCTTCACATGACCTATAATAATCAGATTGAGGCTGCCAGAGCACTGTTGCTTTATGCGAATACCCTCAGTGTGAGTTTTGATTCTGTTTATCAATATTTCAATTGCTTCAACTTTAATGATATAGTTTATTAAAATTGTGATTATGAAGAAGCCCTTCTACCGGTTCCTATTTTAGTGGAATGACACCGAATTAGATGAGTCGTTAATTGCCAGACGCCTCAATAGGCACTGTGCCGTGGAAAGACAGTTGAAAGATAGTCTCTTGTGTGAAGCTGCAGATCTCTTCGCTGAAGGTGAAATGTGGGAAGATGCTATAAAGATACTAAAGTGAGTTAATGGTTGATCAACTAGATAAAACTAAAGGCTCGATCCTGGACTCTTGTTTACATAAACATTTTGCAGGGAGCTGTTACCTGTTTACGAGATTGCATATGTTGATTACGACAAGTTGGCTTCACTGATGGTTTGTTTTTCCTCTTTCTTTTATTTTGTATGAGTCACTACTGAACTTTGTTCCTTCAAGGTCAGGATTGCCGAGCTCTATCGTAAGATCGATCGCGAGAATCGTGCCTTTTTCTACTATTATCTTGTGGCATTTTACGGCAAAGGATTCCCTTCATATCTTAATGGGATTAGGTTAGCTCAATTGCCACCCCTTTGTTGTGATCAAACTTACTTTCTTGGAGGAACCTATCTCCTCAAATCATTCCATGAATCTATGATATATTATTACAGCTTTGTGTTCCGCAGTGACAAGCTAGAGCGTCATGCTGATTTCATGCAACGTATGCAGCAGGTAATAATTACCCTCTGATGTTCGAATTCCATCATCACTGCTATTAGAGTGGAAGCTGTGACTAGCCTCACCACCTTCAAAAAGCAAACTTTCAGTGGTTCAAGCAAAAGAGCCACACTCAATAGGAGATTACTCTAAGAAAGGGGCTGTGCAGTTATAAAAAGGCATTTTTATGAAATAGCAAGGATGTTTCTCGATATTATAAATCATGTATAATAGTCGTTTAGATTTATGGTAACCCCGAGGCGATTATGTCCATGGACGATTGTTCGCATCTGAAAAACTCTCCCGGTCGATATATGCAGGTTCATAAATTTTTATTTTTTTATAGTGCCCAAATTCCTCTTCCTCTTTCTGTCTTCTGGCACCAAGCATTTTATTTTAGGTATTCAACGTCGATCCGATACCTACGACTTGTCCGTTTAACGACGCTCACGTCAATCCTGCTATCAAGGATTATTATCGTCACTATAACGTTGGTTATTGGCTTGCCCTTGGAAAGGTTTTGCCAGTTTTTTGAAAATTCAAAAAAAGAGACTTCTTCAGATTCGTGACTTCGAATATAGTCGAGTGGAAGAGCGGAAAGGTACGAAATGGACTTCGGTGAAGGATTCTGAGTTGATGCGAACCTGGATTGTTAAACGAACAGTGGTGACGTACGAACGATTACCGGGCATTTTGCGTTCTACCCAGGTAATTTTTTTTTCTGCGAGTTATCTAGTCCTTCATAATACCTGGGCGATTGATTATAGATTGATTGGACTAGCTTTGAACTGAACAGCCCCTGTTGCCCTATCGAAAGGGTTCAATTGGCCCACTCCCTTAAGCTACAAGATATGGCAGAGGGGAATAAGAACAGCGAATTGAATATTTCATGATTGGCATGCAACAGCAGAAAAAGATGGAGACTTTTCCATGCCATATCCATCCCACATCCTTCTGCCAATCATGACTTGATTCCGGCTTGCTTGTATTTCTATCATCGATTTCCATTACAAATGTGTCGCTCTCAATTTGACGAGATTGATAACTTGAGGGATTAGGGCACTTGCTGAGCAGGGAATACCCACGTACATGAAGTGGCATAAGACCTCGAATCTTTTGGTCGCCTATGTTGACTGAAGTTTACGACTAAAGCTCCATCGAATCAGTCTCAACGGGATAGTTCTGCAAATTTGAAAGAAAAATCGGCAGAAGCGAATGGTGGGGCGTTGAGACAGATGTTTTTATCTGATACACGTCTTTACAGATAGTCTCTACTTCACCACCAATCTACGTAAATCCACTACGGCGTTCCGTCGACCAAATGCAAAAGAAGAACACTGAGCTTATGGAAACGGCCTTACTAGTACTACTCAACAGAACACATGCAGTAAAAAAACTTTCTGGAGAGATTCTTGGTGTAGTACGTCCAGCTGTAATGGGTGGTGTAAGTAACTATGAGGTGAGTTTAGTTACAGCTCTTGAGCGTTCGTATTTTGCCTTTACTGGAAAAAATCTGAAAAATTGTTCCCTCTGAAAAATTTGAAAATATTGAAGGTATTCTTTTCTGATGAGTGCTCCAGAATATACGACTCTGAGGAAAAACAGCTTGCAATGCATCTGAGCGCTCTAATAATTGAACAAGTAAGTTTTTCTCCCATCTATCAACCATTTTGCCTGAAGCCTTAAAGCACTTTTCTATTCCGTTGTTTTTAGGTGGAGATTCTAGAATTTTGTCTTTATGCCCACGCCACTCGCACAGAAATCACGAAGCAGTTCCACGATCATCTTGTCGAAGGCTTTTATGAGCACAAGCAATATGTCGAGGACAAATTTGGTCGAACGGTAAAATTTGCTGTTTACTATTCAGGAAACGACCCTTTGGAGTGATTCAGAAAGTTCTTCAGTGGACCTTAATTGAATCAGTTTAGACAGAGGTTAGTGAACGAACCTCTGTCTAGAGTGATTGTCGTCCGTCTTACTCAAAAAATGACGTTGACTTAGGAACAAGGAAAGAATAGGATATTCCCTGTTTATTTTTCCTCCTTTCAACACCACCAGTTTCCGGGGCTGCGCACTCGTCAGAAAGACCGCCATAAAGACGACTACAGTTGTTTTTTTTTCCTGATTTGTGAAACTAGGAGTTCATTTTAGCGTTCGATTTTGCCAGAAGGAGCTACAATACGATATTCAGTGGAAAATAATGGCATTGATGCGAGTAAGAAGACAGTATCAAGTACCTCACTTGATTCCAGGTTGGTTTATACTTTATGGGAAGATTGGGTTACGAAGCTGTTGCGTAAACATGGTTCTTTTAAGCTCAACTGGTACACTGAACTTGAGATCGCGTGGAGCTGCTATAGGATCGACCATGTTGAGCATGCTGACTACCTCCAGAAAGTCGAGTTCGAACAACGTTGCAAATTCCTCATCATCGCCATCATTGTAAGGCTCAATATTTTTTTAACAATATGAATCATAATACTTAGGACTAGGTGTCAATGGCGTGGTTTGGTTTCGCTGTTCGCTAAGTTTTTGAATCTTATCTTCTCTATATCTTGAGACTCACCCTAATTAGGAAGCACTGTCCTTTTTCCGCCAACAATGTAATTGAAAATCAACAAAAAATTCCGGAGTTAATCAGTTCCTCGAACCGAAATATATAATTTATGGAGGTTCGGTTATCTAGTGTCTCTCCCGATGAAATAGCGTGGGCAGAGACAGACCTGACAATGAGAGGAGTCCTATACGAACCGCTATACTTTACCCATAGGCTGTAGATGCTGAAGGGGTTTTAACTCATTAGGAAGGCGCGTTGGTTGCAAGATGACATTATCACTGTCTTCATCTGGAGTTTAGATCATATTGAATACTGACTATTCTCATTTGCAGAGTAAATAACCGCACTATAGAACGTATAGATGCTGCCCGTGTATTTGCGTCAATACGAGATAGCAGCCTGGATTCGTCTCGCCCTTCAGATATTCTGAGCAGGAGGCCAACGATGGATGGGCTGGAAGGTTATTATGCGAGATATTCGAG